TGGTTCTGCTCGCCCTGCCAGGCTCTGTCCTTCCCCCACAGCCCTGCCAGCCCCCTGCCCAAGGCTGCCCCCGCTCGCCCCCTCCCTTCCTCTTCCAGCCCCCCAGGGGTCCCCAGGAGGTGCTGGTGGGACTCCCTGTTCCATCCCCCATCTGGTCCTCCCCTCAACCCCCGCTCCCCCCCAGGACGTGCAGCTCCGTGCACTGCACAGGAACTGGGCCCGGCGCTGGCACCGGGGCGATGAAACCATCGTGATGCTCCCTTTGGGCTCCCTGCCCCCAAAGCCCCGGTCACCGTGTCACCAACCAGCCCCCGGCCACGCCCAGGGCATTTGGCTAATGAGCACTAATGTCACTGCCAGGCGAGCAGCGCGACGGGGGCTGGAACGTGGCTGGAAATGTTGCGGGGACCACGGTGTTGTGAGGCAGGACGGGACCCGGGGACGGGCGGCGAGGGGGTCCCTCCTCTGAGACCTACTTGGGTGGCATCCCTGGGGGTCCAGTGCCAGCTCCCAGCCCAGCGGCCCCAGGCTGGGGTCACCTCTCTGCCCTGAGCACCAGCGGTGCCAGGACGGGTCCCTAACCCGGACAGAGCAGGATGCACCGCGCTGGGAACGCCGCTCCCTGGGAGGAACTCAGGGAGGGGTCCAGAAAGCGCCCCAAAAGGCAGAGCTGGGGATCCCCAAGGACCCAGTTTCCAGTCTGGGCTGGCGGTGGCTGCTTGAGCTGAACAGGAGAGGACAATTTTGGGAGTTCAGTCCCAAAATCAGCGCCGGGAGGGAGAACCCCCGCCCATCCGGGGGGATCCTAACCAGCCGATGCAGCTGCACCCCGAACAACCGTGCGGATCCTCCCAGCACGCCGGGACCTGCCGGGACGGGGCTCAGCCCCCCCGCACCCCGGGACACCCCCAGGGACCCCTCCCACCGGTACAAGCAGAGGGAGCGAGGGATGGGCTTCCCGCAAAACGAGCTGCAGACTCAGCTCATTTAAAACCTTATTTAGGCAGATTTAAGGAAGGAAAAAATAAAAGAATAAAAAGGTGGAAATTCCTGGCAGAGGCAGGTACCACCCGGAGGGAGGAAATTAAAAATGAAAGCTGGAAGTCTTGGGGTGGTTTTTTACTTTGTGCCTAAGGAATGTGTGTGTTG